TAGTCACTGATGGCAAATTAACTTCCTTGCCAACAGAGAAGGACATCAAATATCTTGATACTAACTGTGTTATATTTTGGTATATATTGCTTTTTTGCTGCAAACTTGACCAGTAGCATTATCTAGGGGTTCATAAAGTATGACCCACCTATAGAGAATACTATGCAGTATCACTTTGGGTATACTTTATAGAAAAAAGAAATGTGGCATTGGATACTGCCTTAGTTAGGGTTACTATTGCTATGATGAAACACCATGACCAAAAGCAAGACAGGGAGGAAAGAGTTTATTTGGTTATACCTCCATATCACTATTTTTCATCAAACAGAATCAGGACAGGAACTCAAGCAGGGCAGGAACCTGGAGGCAGGATTTGATTCAGAAGTCATAGAGGGGTGCTGCTTACTGGCTTGCTTCCCATGGCTCATTCAGCCTGCTATCTTATAGAGCCCAGGATCACAAACCCAGTAATGGCACCACCCACAATGGACTCACAACCCCCCCCCCAACACACACACAGAACACACCAATCACTAAATAAGAAAATACCCTATAGGCCAATTTTATGAAGGCAGTTTCTCAACTAAGGCTCCCTTCTTTCCAGTGACTATAGCTTGTGTCAAGACATAAAAATAGCCAGCACAGATACTAAGCTTGGAATCCAATGGACCTATCATATGCTGCTCCTCTCAGAAGTTTCTGACAGTTACAGGTGGGGAATGAGCTTCAAAAGGCACCACTGAAATGCTGCCACGGAGTGCAGATTCCTTGCACATGAGTGACTATAACCCAGGCTACTGTATGCATGAGAAAAGAATGGTCATTAGGTGGTGCTCTATGCCTGTGCATGAGTGGAATGCACAGGTCTCGGAACTAAGGTATTTAATTAGGGGTACTTTACATAGGGAAAGTACACTTCCCCTCCCTGCACATCTAGGTTTTGTGGTTCTAGAGGTCCTCGTTTGGTGAGAGAGTATCTACACTTCTGCCAAAGAGCACAGTTACAGTCCCGTTAAACATTAATCTATGACTACTCCCTGGCCACTTTCGACTCCTCATTCCAAGAGACCAATTGGCAGAGAAGAATCACCAGACTGGAAAGTTTATGATGCTGTTTATCAAAAGTAGGCAGTGCTGCTGTTATGCAATGAAAAGGTTGAAAAACATCTGACAGGCACATGATCTATTGCTGTATCTTTTGGAATTCCCTAGCTCTGAAGGAAACCACTATTTTAAAACTTATCTTCCAGCTCCCTGGGCTGTTCTTATTTGTAACTGCAAAGGCCTGCTTCTGTTAGCTGAGTATGACACAAATGTGAAAGCACATCTATGCTCCAAAACTCCCATAAGAAATCACCATCTCCCTCTGCATGATTAATTCTGCCACCACTAACTCCCTTCAGGTGTCACTCCAAAGGGCACATCCCATAAATAACTGCACACAGACATCTATCTCAGAGGCAGCCTCCTGACGAATATGGCCCAATGTACATTAGTTCATTGTTTCATGACTTTTGCTATCCATTCTGTCTTAAGGAAGAGAAATTGCATATATAACATAGACCTTTAAAAAAAGCATATTCAAGTAAGTGAGCAAAATATATACATGTTATTTTTAATAGGAAGCAGCTGAATTTTAGCAAACAATAAGATGTAATTTCTATTAAATCTGTTCAAGTGCTAAGTATTAACTATATCTCAAATTTAGACACTGCTAGTTTTTTACTTGCTTTCATTTTCTTTCACAGATGTACTTACTGGTCTTTGTTGCTGCTGTTGTTAACATTAAAAAGAGCCATAGTACCTGGCAAGTACTGCTCCCTGGAAAAAGAAAAACATACAGTGAAGTGTGATGGTCACCATGCTCAGGGTTAGCAGACTGTCTTAAAAAACAAAGGACTTAAAGTTTTCTACTCCCTACATAACATTGTCCAGATTACTATTTCAAAAGTACAGAACTTCTGTGAAGCACAGCTTGCCATAAAAACTAGCCCACTGAACCAAAGTGGTTAGTAAATAACTATTGGTCAAGATGCATACCAAAACTTAGTCTCATCTTTGGCCTTGAGTAAACCAAGACAGATGGCACTGACTTCCACCAAAAGACCCAAGATAGTCAGAGAAGACAAAAAGAGGGGGAATGAATACTTTAAAGAAATACAGTGGAAAGGTATGGTTAGTCACAGGAAGAAATAAAAAGGGGAAAAGATAACAAAAAGTAAAATACATTGCATAGGATCAGAACCATACTATACCACACTCCTTCAACCTTCAACGGCTTCGGGTCTGTACTGAACATGACATCTTTAGTTCCCCTATGCACATTATACTTCCTAATCTCACATTATATTTCCTGGGAGTAGGCTCTACCAGATATAGCAGTTTAGAGGATGATAGCCCACCCTCTCATATGTAGTTACTCCAGGACCCTGAAGGATGAATTCAAAAGAAACAGGAAATCAAGGAAGTGTGGGGAGCCAGACCCACCCAAGACTTTCTAAGAAGCTCTGATGAAAAGACAAAAGGGACTTTAGTTCTCTGTTATTGTCCAGGAACAGACTTGGCAAGACAAGCCCAAGACTGGAGCCAGTGCCTCAGAGGAGTCAAGACTGTAATGTCCGAAGACCCAACTCTTCCCTCTGGGTTGAGTCCTGAGACAGCTGTGTCTGTATCCTGTGTTCCTTGCAAACAATGTCTGATTTAGCTCTCTGCTGTCCTTGGCCATTTTCTTCCTGAAAATAGTATATATAATGCTGTACCTCTCAATAAACTTGCTTGGCATAAGCCATCAGCTTATTCACGAGCACCTGGTCCCAGTTATTGCTTTTGTCATCTCTACTTCTCATCTTTATTTCCCATCGCTGGTCCTCCTACTTGATGTCTCAGTGTCCCAGACCCTTATTCTTGTGGGTTCAGGTCAAAGAAAGTAATTGGGCAAGTTTCTGAGGAACAGGCATTAGTCTCAGGGAGTGTGATGGGGCATATTTATGACTGGAAACCCCGTGACTATAAATAATTAAACATCAGCAGTTTTCCAAGAGAGGGCAAAGGTAAGGGAAGAAATAGCAAGGTACTCATGAGATCTTGCAAAGTATCTCATTGACAAGAGCATTTGTCAAGACGGTCTTTAGAAGGAACAGAAGTTTTTCATTCCAGTGATATTTCAAAGACACGTTCCAGGGGGTAGATGATCCTGCTCACCTCTGGGATGGTCCTTGCCTTCTGTGTGAGTTGTTCCTAAAGAAAGAGTCCTCACTCTCTGCTTCAGACAGAGAAGCATTGTCGTCATCAGAAAAGGAGCTGCCATCCAAAGGGAAGCAGAGGTGAATAGGATTCATATTTTAACCAGCTCAGAGGAAGGCCACCGCTCACCAAAGTGAGCCTTCACTCCATCACTTTCCACCCCTCTCCAGACCAACCCACATGCTTAATTAGAATAAGGTAGAAGCATCATGTTCTACTGAGTGTGGACCCTCTGAAGGCTAGGAATATACATACTCTAGATCATCAACTTCACGGTTGTTTGATGCACTGGTCGATGTCAATGTTTATCCAATAGGAAGTGTAGTATCCAATTTTAGGTTATTATATGCGTGTGAATGAACTGCCACTTCCTGATATTTCCTTTCATTAAAAGGAAATTCCATCACACATATTCTATTCACTTATGCATAACTATTTTAAATCATATTATTATATTTCATATTCTATATACCTTTTTATGTATAGCAATGTCATCTATTTGGATTTCATATTTCCCATGGGAAAGGCCCAATTTATGAGTAAATATTTGTCATAGTCACAGGTGCTTCAATAAACTATCCATCTTATTGTTCATGTGATAGACAAGTTATGCTGTCCCATTGTATAAATTCACTAAATTAAATAGATTATGAATCTGAAGGATATAAATCACAAAGCTAAATTGAAATCAAGCCTAGATAAGTTTTAAAAACGCATGAGAAGGTGCATAGATCCACCTGCATGCTCCATTTTCCATGTGCCGGATTTCTTTTTCCATAGCTGGTACAATCGCACTGGGGATATTTACGAAGGAGTGCCACGTACTAATAATGCTCGTCTTCATGGTTAGTTTAATATCTGAGAAGAAACAAAACTTGTTAATGAGAAGACCTTTGTATGTTTGCATGTATAATCCCAATTCACACGACAGGGGCTGTGCTGTGACAACAGACCTCTACTGAGGAAGAAAAAGTGGTCAAGCTGTGGTTCTTCAGCTGAGTCACCCCATTCCACAACTGTGCTTTTGCATATGCACCCCTGTGACTGAGTCTAGGTAGGTGCTACCCCTCTCTCAGGTCCAATGTGAGGACTCCTTACCCTTAAGAAAACTAATCACATTCCTGCTTCTCTGCGACAGCAGTGTGCACACATTGAAATACTCTCCCATCTGCTAAACCACCATGAATTCCATCTTCACAGCTACACAATATAACCTTTGACACAATGGCAGGTGACATGTTCTTGTACAATAAGCTCCAGTAGCAACTTGTCACTAACCTCTTAGATGAAAGAGAGACAAGCTCCTCTGTGGGCCACAGCTGGGATGCTGTTTAGGAACCATGCTTGGAATTTGTCTAGAAACTATTACCCCAAGCTTTGCAATGACCATGAGGTCCTTGTAATGATATATTGTTTATGATCTAATAAAGCTTTTCTGAGTATCAGAATGCAAAACTAGCCACAGCCATAGAGGCCAGGAGGTAGCAGTACACACTTTTAATTCCATCAGCCACAATAGTTAACCATAGAATCTGGGCATTGGCAGTGCACACCTTTGATCACAGCACTAGAGAATAATATAAGACAGGAGCTTAGGGTCTCAGTCTGTATTCAGTCTTCAGTCATGCTGAAGACATCATCACCCCAGTCTTAGCAGAGGTAAGAATTCTCTAATGGTTAGCTACTTTGCTTTTCTGATCTTTAGCCTGAACCCCAATATCTATCCCTGGGTTTTTATTATTCATGCTACATATTGGCACCCAATATAGGATTTGAACCCATGACCCTGAGATTAAGAGTCTCATGCTCTACCAACTGAGCTAGCCAGGCCAGAATGGGTAATTCTGGTGGCATTTGGAGCTCAGGTGCTTCTGGAGTTTGGGTGGCACCTGGAGACTGTTTTAGAGAGGCTACAACAGGAAAATCCCAAACTCACTCAGGGGCTTGGGGAAAAAAAAAAAAAAACCTAGCCTGCTGGGGTGGTGACTCTTGTGGGAGCCCCACATACAGCTATGACCTGTGCTGGTGGCTGCAAAGCCACAGGATTTTTCGTGATTTTGTACCTTAAAGTTGAGTGATTTATAGCTAAAAAGTAGAGGAGGGAAAGGGGGGGCAGGCAAGAGTTGGTGTGCCACCTAGTTTTTGGAAATGAGTAAATTCTTTTCTCAACTGTTGGTACACAGAACGCTGTAAAAACATTGTCAAAATGAGAGGAAGGAAGGAGATTAGATGGCAAGAATATCAAAGGAAAACAAGAAGAAAGTTTAGTAGAAAACTTTGCAGTAAATTATGGAAAACAATATCCACATCTTTAAACTGCAGCAGGTAAGTTTGGCTATTAACATTCTATTTTATTATGTCTGTGTATGTGGTGTGTATATGTGTGTTTATATTAGTACATTGATATCCATGTGTATATGCCTGAGGTAACATGTATATGGAAGACAAAGGTTGATTCCAAGTTTCTTTCTTGATCCCTCTCCACCTTATCTATCAAGTCAGAGTCCCTCCCCTGAACCCAGAGTTCATTAATTTGGCCAGGATATCAACTTGAGGGGCATGGGAGAGTTTCAAAGGAAGGTAACTGGAAGGGGCTGGAGAGAGGAAGTGATATAATTCTATTTCAAATAAACATGTTTTAAAAGTTTAAAGATGTTGAAAGGCATGCCTTTGCATGTATGTCTGCATGAGTTTATGTACAGCATGTATATGTGTATGCCTGCGGAATCCAAAGGTCATCCAACTCCTTATAACAGGAGCCACAAGTGAGCTGCCTCATGTGGTTCTGAGAACCAAACCTGGATCCTCTGCAGGAACAGCAAGTGCACTTTACTGCTGAGCCATCCCTCTAATCTCTATATTTAGTTCAGAAATGGTACCACTTGCTATGACAGGATTATCTTGAATACTCATTAAGAAGCTAAAAACATAAAGGAGTAATTTGGGGTGATAAATAAACAAGGACTTTGTCCTGGAACTTAGTGCTATGATGGTGAAACCTGACCCCCAACAGATCTTAACAGCTCCATGCCTCGGCCAGTATTCTGGGACAGCTTAATTTTTAAAAGAAACACTTGCTCCATGTCTAACAGAATTAAAATCTAGCTGGCATCACTAGTGGCTTGTGTTCTTAGCCCATAAGCCTACCTTGGCATTAGGCAATCTGCAATAATGTGGCACTACCCACATTCTGTGTTGCTTTGATCTTGAGCTGTAGGCTGGGGTGTGGTACAGATTGGTAGCCTTTGTGGCTACCAATACAGGTGTGTCATACAAGAACCTAAAGCAGTTCCACCCATGGTAACTAACTGTTCCCAGAGTAAGGCAGATCTTAGAGTGCCAGATCACAAGAAAGTAACAATGAACACAGTATCTAGAGTTGCTCTGGTCCCTGAGGGTGGCTATGGCAATAGATTGTTCTTTCTAGGTATTCTTTTCATTCTTCCTAAACACAAAAGCCAAGCCTAGCACAGAGCTAAGTATAGAAGCCCAGGGTAAGCAAACCTCTAAGTTCAAAGTATGCAATCAAGAACCTTGACTTCACTTACTGAAGTGCCAGAAACTAACCAGATAATAGCACGGGGGACTCTCAGAAGGAGAATTAAAAATAACCACTTTAAAAGAAATTCCATTAGTTTGAAGCCAACATTGAAAAATAATATTCCAATATCCTGAGAAAATTAAGAGATGGAAACATTTTTTAAAAATAAAATTTTTGAGTTGCAAAATTTATGGTGTTGAAATTAAAATTGCAACCAAAATACCCATAAGAGGTGGATTAGCTCCTTTCCTCATTGTTGTGATAAAACAGCTGACATGAAGCAATTTAAGGAGGGATTTGTTTATCTGTGGACGACAGGCTGGTCTTTCTCAGGATGCAGAGCAAGACCAACGCTAGTGCACAAATAGCTTTCTCATTTCATTCAGCCTGAGACTCCAGTCTATGGGGTGTGCTTCTCATATTCAGATTGTGTCTTCTCTCCCTACTGTGTAAATACTGGTTGAAGCTGTTACACACACACACACACACACACACACACACACACACACACACACCATTAATCCCAGCATGTGGGAAGCAGAGGCAGGTGGATCTCTGAGTTAGAGGCCAGCCTGTTTTACAGAGTGAGTTACAGGGTTTCCCCACCAGCCTGGTCCCACAGCCGCATCAGCCCAAAATAACATGCAGAGATGCTGTATTAGATATAAAGCTGTTGGCCTGTTGTTACTAGTGTTTCTTATTGGCTAGCTCTGTCTTAAATATTAACCCATTTCTATTGATACAAATATTTCTGCATGGTCTTATCTTACCAGAGAGAGAGTCTGAAGTTCTTCTCTCTTTGTCTTACATGTTGATTCTCCCCTACTACCTATTCCCAAATCCTCTGTATCTCCTAGTCCTGCCTATCTTGGTTTCCTGTTGGCCAACAGTACTTTATTCATTAACCAATACAAGAAACCTATTTACCGAATGACATCTCCCATCACCAGCCTGTTTTACAGATTGAGTTCCAGGACAGCCTGGGCTGTTACACAAAGAAACCCTGACCTGAGAAACAAAAACAAAAACAAAATATCTGCTGAAAAGATTCATAGAGGTGTGTCTCCATGGTGATTTTGAATCCTACTTACATTAACAATGACAATGATCTATCATGGGCAGCTAGATAAAACTGAAGAATTTGTGACCTCAAAGACAGGCTCTAAAATATACATACAGTTGGAGGAGAAAAGAATAAGAGGAAATGAATAAAGCTTATGAGTTCTTTTAGAGTTGTATTAAAAGAGCAGTTATTTGGACTATTGAGGTTCAAGGACTTATCTTATTAAAAGAAATACTAACAGAACTTTTCTTACCCATAGGTACAGGCATCAGGGCTGTCAGCCAAATCTACACCAGGATATATGATAATCAAGCTGTTACCAGTGAAAGATAAAAAGAAGATTCTCAGGTCTGCAAAGGAAGATACAAGACCACATGCAGGACTGCCCTAGATTAGCTGACAGCACACTTCTCCACAGGAACTTTATAGGCCAGGAAAGTGTAGGATGAGGTTTCATAGTACTAAAAGAAAAATTCAGATTTGAAGCGAATAGTAATGTGCCTAGAGTAAGAGATTCCAATGCAATGATACTGTTATGTAATACAATAATCATTACACACAACTATAACAGTTGTATATAAAAGGAGACTACACAAGACAATAATAACTATAATAGACAAATCACAAAAGGCAACCGAGAAATAGCAGCATTAAATTGTATCCTAAACAGGCCATCAGCAAAGACATAGTAAAGTTCAATTTTACCCTAGACCCTAACTTCTAGCTTTCACAGTGTCCAAAGACTGCTACACAAGCTCCCAAGGAATAAAACTAATCATCTCTACTCACCTGTGAAGTCTATAGATCACAACAATAACAGGCACAGCAAGGTATACTCAATGGTTCAATAGTGGCACTTTTATCTTGGGGTAACCAACAACTTTCTAATTGTCTAATTGTGCTTAAAGCCCACACAATAGTAGGGAGTTCCAGCCTGATACTATGAACCAAAACAACATGGCTAGAGAGGTCATAGATTCTAGAGAAGAACCTGTTATTGTCATTTTCTTAAACCAATATAATTTTGAACTATATTCTAAATTTATATCCTTATTCCTTTAGATAAACATAGCTTTATCTCTCATCAAAGCCCCCTTAGCTATAGGTTCCAATCCCACTTGAGGGCAGGCAACACAACTGAATGGTGGGGGTTACAAAGTTTTTGGCAACACTGAAAAGATTTTCAGTGTGAGACAAAAAGTTAGTCCAGAATCCAAAGTGTGATGAATGTGAGGAATTTCTGGCACCCCAGTTGCCTTCTGAGACTTCACTGAAGCCCTGGTTCCTAATACACACCATGTACATACAGTCTGCCTAGCACAAACCATTGCATCACATGGCACCAACACACAGCTCAGATCCAAGACTACTGTTTGCTTTGAATCGCAGTGTTTTTACTATACATACAAAGTTTTCTGCTTTATATAATGGTTTAGCTACAGGAAAAGAAATATTTTTGTACAGTCCTTCTTCAGCATGTATTAAATTAGCCTATCTTTAGATTGTGTTACATCAGAATACTTATTTGGGTGTTTTGAATTTGTTTGGTGGTTTTCTGTTGGTGTTGTTTTTGTTTTTTATAATTCCTGCTGCCATTTCTGACTTCAGTTGCATTTTATTAAAAAAATAAAATAAACTTCTGGCTTTGAATTAGAACAGGATTTCCAACAATTTCTCACATAGCCCAAAACATACTTGTTCCATTTTCTGTTACCTATTTATAGAAAGTAATATTCTCAACATCAACAATCATAAAATCAAAATATTGATTAACTCTAAAAAACACATTGTAGCAAATATTCAGTTTGGATTTAATTCTATATGTAAAATAAATAAGTGCAACCATATCATTAGTATGCAAATTTGCTTTTTTAGATTTTTATAGATAGTAAAAGTGTATGTATGCCAAAGAATTGATTGAAAATTAATTTCCTCATGACATTATTTCTTAATGCTTGATTTGCACATCCATTTTATATACCTATATATTTAGAGGGAGTCACATGAAATGTTCTCAGGGCCTTAAGTAGAAATGTTGAAGAAGCCCTGGCTTCAATGTATAAGGCCCAGGAGCCCTTATACATTGCTAATGAGCATAAATGGGTGCAGCCACTATAGCAATCAGTTTGGTGCCTTCTCAGAAAAAGACAAATAGAACTACCATGTGACCCAGATATTCCACTCCTGGAAAATACCCAAAGGACTCTACATCCCGTTTCACAAACA